CCTCCTTGATTGGCGCCCTCTCGTCCAATGCCCTGGTCCTTCGCAAATTCCTGGGTACGCCACTGGTCCTCCCCGGTGCATGTGGCGCGTGCCAACCCCTGCACCGCACACCATTCGATAGCCCGTTCGATTCTCTACACGATGCTGTTTTCCCCGTACCGGTCGGGCCCACGGTTACCGAGATATTGCACCGGGACCGGACCCGTGTCGGGCAAGTTTTCGCCCGTTTTTGCCAGCCGATTAATACATGTAAAGTCAATGACGCGAATTTGCACTTTTTGGGCACGCGCCACGCGCTCGCTATCGATCCGATTGAGCTGAGACCCATCAAAGGCACGTTGTCCATCCTTGTTCTATGAGTTGCGCAAACTTCAGCGCGGTAGGTGCAACGGTGTGACCTGTAACCCGCGCTACGTAGCACCATGTCGCGACCTTCGTAATAGACAGAAACTACGTCACCACAAATAGTAATATAGATACGCACTAGGGTTACCCGCGTGCTCCGCAACGCGAAGGGGGGATTTTTTTTGACCCGTGGGTATTGGGTTGGTCTGTGTCGATTTGGTTGGTAGATATCCATTTCGTTCGATTGCTTTTTGACGGCCAAGCATTTTGTAAGAAAACAAAAAGATACATCGCATCGAGGTGCCCGTGTCGTATTATCATGCGTTCTACTTTAGAATGATTCGAAAACTGGCGTGAAGTCTTTTGAGGGCCATCGATGAATTTCGCTAAAAATGACAATGTAATGGTTTGGAACATTTACATTTTTAACGATACTGTTGCTAATCATGCAAAAATGAAAAGTGAATATTGGACAGAATTGAATGCTCTATCCAATGGTACCATATTCAATTGCCAAAGGTATCAGGTTATGCAGCAAACCCCGTGTGATTAATAAAGTGGCACAAAATTGACAAACACCATTTTCTCCTGTGATTTGCACCACCTTGATTTGGATTAATCAGCTTTTCACAATTTTTATATGAGAGGCGGTACCTTTCTCTTGCAAATAGGCGTTGATTCAACTCGCTCCATTTAACGGTCACCTAAAGATAAAATTAATTCCAAAATCCCTCAAAAACCGCAATTTTTCAAATAAAAGTGCCCTCTCCGATGCACGTGGCGCGTGCTATCCTCTGCATTGCACACCATTCAATAGCCCGTTCAATTCTGTACACGATGCTGTTTTCCCCGTGCCGGTCGGACCCCTGGTCACCAAGATATTGCACGTGAACTGGACCCGTGTCGGCCAAAATTAGCCGTTTTCGCCCGATTTCGCACGCCGATTTATACATGTAAAGTCTATGACGCGAATTTGCACTTTTTGAGCACGCGCCACGCGCTCCCTATCAATCCGATCGAGCTGAGACACCTCAAAGGCACGTTGCGCATCCTTGATCTATAAGTTGTGCAAATTTCACCGGGCTAGGTGCAACGGTCTGGCCTGTAGTCCACGCAAAGCAACACCAAGTTGGGACCTCGGTAACGGACAGACGCACCCTCCTCAAATAGTAATATAGATAGTCCGTTTTTCTTAAGTTTGCCCCTCACTGTAAACGTCTCTTTGAACACAGCACGAGAATTGCACGCTGAATTACTGAGAAAACTGGTTAGCGAACATTGTATTGTAGATATGAATAATATTTTCAAAAATAAGTTTTGAACACCGACGATTTAACGTTATGTTAAAGGGACCCTCCCACCCTCAAAAAAGTTAATGAATTGGCATAAAAGTGATGTAGCGTGAATCACAAAGAGCGAAAATGAACAGCTACCAAATTTTACCGGAAAATATTCACCCGTTTTCGAGATATAAGACTTTTATTTTTGTTTACTTTTTGGGAAATCCGCTGTTTCTGTGACGTCACATAAAGGTTTTCTTTACGTCGGCATTTGGAAGCAATAGTTTGGTATCAAAGTGCGACAAATATTGCGCGAATGATGCGTTTATCTTATCAAGGTCAATATATGATGGCCAATAAAGGATTCCAGGACAATTCTTATGGCATTTCTTCGTATCGCAATTCTTCGTCTGCAAATCTTCGCCAGGGCATTTATTCGTACCTATCGCATTACTTTGTCTCGCACCAGGGTATATGAAAATCGGCTCGCATTTCTTCTTCAACGCAAATATGTGCAAGAGTAAGCATTGAGGGACAAATAAATGCACCGACGAAGATTTGTAGACGAAGAAATGCGGACGAAAAATTGTGCTACGAAGAAATGTCATGCGAGGATTCGTTCGGGTACCATGACATTTATGTGATTTCAATTTTCAAAGTCAAGGTTCACAGCTGATCTGCTAAATCAAGCCAAGAATCCAAACTATCAAAAAACTATAAATATTTGTTTGTCTGTCACAGAGGTCTCAAGCAATATAAGGTTGACATATGTTGAATCAAAAATCTACTGCCACAACTCACATCTCCTGCCTTAGTTTATCATTGTTGTTTTAACTTGCTTTCAAGAGAAACAGAAGCCAGTATCTGATATCACTTCAGATGATTGTTTCAAGATCTGAGTTCAAATGGAAATAAAAGCAAGATCAAGATGAAACAGGGATTATTGCTGTTAAAGTAGTTTGGCCATGATACAACAAGCACATAAATCATTAGCCAAATCAAATACTGGTTGGTTTGTCAAGATGTTTGTTGTCTGTCGTCTGTCGAGCTGCTATGAACACTGAACGCTCTCACTCTTACTTTAAAGAGAGTAGTTTAAGTTGAATGGTAGTGAGCTGTAATTAGACAAAGCAGCTATTCAGTGCTCACATCAAGCCAGGCTAGGAAATGGCATCAACTGTGGTGGGAGGAAGCAGGTTCGGCAGCCCTATGTTGTAAACTTCTGTTATGTCTTGTGTTTGATCAACTGATGTTTTCTGCTCTGTTTTGTGCAGTGATAGTAGCAGGTAACTGCATGCTTGTCAAATTATGTGAATAAACGAATTCATAACATTGCATTTTTCTCTCCATGCAAGGAACAAGTAAGATGTTGTAGAAAATGTAATAGAGGGCTGCATTGCTGATTTTGCACTTTATCAGAGCTTTATTTAGAATTGCTTTCCTGAAAGCTACACACAGGCCACAGTGCTGAAATTCACAATGTCATAGCTTTTGGCAGAAAAAAGAAAAGACCTACCTAGGTAAAATTGGCTGAAAGTATGGCAGAGCAGGTCTTGATGCGTATGCCCATCCGTGTGCTTGCCGAAGCCGAACTGACTGCAACACATTTAACTCTGACCCACCATGGTGGCTGGCATATCCTGAACTTTCACCACTCTAAACAAGACAACTTTCAGCCCTCAGCATTGTATTAAAACACTGTACAAAACACTCAAAATTTGTTTCAGTGCCATCCACGGACAACATCAGTCGCCATTCACCAGGCCAGTAAAAACAGAATAGATAATAGCTTCAAACCCATGTAGTCAGAGTTACTAGGTCTGCACCTCAAAACAAAATCCAGGTGACATTCACCACGCCAGTAAAAAACAGGTACTTAGGTAACGTAACAGCTTCAAATCTGGTAACATGTTGGTCGGACTTTACACTACCATATTTACATGGAATAATATGATACCAAACAATAGTGCAACCATTCTGGACAACAAAAGTGTATGATAAAATTAATTTAGAATACTCTGGCAGCATGATTTACGAGCACAGGCAGGTGTTACCTACCAGCCTTCTCAATGCTCGTAAAACCAACATTGTAGTTTTGATTTTACCTTACATGATAACACACTTAGCTGCAATGGCACATTTAATCTAATACTGTGAAAAGACCAGTTATAACCACTTCACAAGCACAATTGCACCTCATGCCGACATCCTTTTCCAAAGACAGTCAGCAGCGTCTTTCGTCAAAACTGGAAGATAAATCCCCTTTCAACTGTTAACATCAAAAATATTTCTTCATGGTGTGACTGTGATCTCCATATGGAAACCTTGCAGGAAAAGAATTAATGTCAATTGTCAGCTCTTCAAATTTCTTTGGACTTTAACTTGCAGTACCATATCCAGTTTGCTTTGATATTTTGTTTTTTATTCCATGTTGAAGTTGAACACCAAGCTCCAGATATAGCAGGCAGCTTGATCATCTTCGGCCTTGGTATAATATCAGTCCAAGTTCCAGTGGTGGGTATCTTCTAATATTCAAATTAAAATGAAAAGCAATAGGCTTCCTCAGCGCCGACGACGGATTTCACGTTGATAAAAAAGGGAGCTCAAGGTCAGCAAAACTCGGGTTCAAGGAATGGCTGGCGTTGAAATGACTGCTGACGTCATCAAAAAACCGCTAATGGTTAAGAGATAGGGACTAAGCTGGTCCCACCCTGCAAGTAAAGGGAAGAAATTTCTTGAACACCATAAAGCTGCGGGGGTTGCGACCAGGATAAATGGTGGTTTCTGATCCTGGCCGCAAACTTGGCTATCTCAACTCAAAACTAATGTTAAGGTGGGATGGTCCCTTTAAGCGCCGTGCAATTTATTTATTAGTTCAGACATAATTCCTGAGAAGTCTATCCCTGTGGGGCTGTAGGTATTGGCAGATACGATTTACGAGTCTGTGAAATAGTAAATAAATTTGATGAAATTGATCGTCTGTGAAATCTGGTTAAATCAGTGTGCGCCAACCAGTTTTTTCAGTAATACAACTAGCAATTCTCGTGCTTTGTTCAAAAAGACGTTTACAGTGAGGGGCAAACTTAAAAAAAACGAACTATACATATCTGGACTGGACACGAAATTTCGCCGATTAACGTAAGGGTACCAATGGAGTTTTATGTGTTAAATTTGATTGCCTTTCATAATGGATATATTATCATGAACAGGTCGCATATTTGATCCCATCCCATGGTTATAACCGCGTGAACTTCGCCCTGCTTACTGATGCTCATTTGGCAGCTTAGAGGTCGGTGGAGAGAGTGCTGCGCGTGCTACGTGATGGTCTGCTATAGTCATCATTTTGGCGCTTCTGCCATCTTCGTTGACAAGGAAACTCGCAGATAGTGGTTGCTTGTTTATGATAATTCGCACATCACAATGAATCGTAATACAATGAATGCAAGCCACAATTATCACAGAAATTGATCACAATGATACACTATTGGAACTGTGACGCTCCTGCGATGTCACTCTTCCAGCTCCAGAAACTAACAGGACAAGACACGGAGAACTGGCGGCGGGCGTATATACGTTTGACCCGGGTCGCGCTGAGCCATACTGTGCCGGCGCACAAATGTAACGTACATACTGGCCACTAGATGGCACTGTGAGTCAGCGCCTGAAGGCATACTGTGCCGGTGCACAAAGGTAACTTAAATATCGGCCACTAGATAACGCTGTCAGTCAGCGCCTGCAGATGCAGTGGAGCCGAGCTGGTCCTAAGTCTTCTTACTCCCACTTAACTTGCGGCGCTTCTGGTCTTCCCTAGAGCATCTCTCCTTACTGGTACTGGCGCCGGGGTCTGTGGAACGCTTCCATTTTCCGTGTAGACGGCTGTTGGCGTCCTTGACCATGTTGCTGGCGAACAAATTGAATAGGGAGCCTGCCATACGCGATACTACAGTTGCAAGACAGTGGCCTCCTTCACAGCTGATGTCTGAGACAGTCACGTTCTCGGCCGATGTGATGACTTCACTCACCACATTCACGAAGACTGCTCGCGGCAGGTTGCTGCCGAACAGACGCTGCCTGCTGCTCTGCTCTTTGACGAGAGTCCTCCAAACTACTGGGCAGACATCGCCATCGCTGGACTCGGCGATTGTGTCGAGGAGCGTCGCGGCTGCCGACAGACGAGCAGCAACTGTCACAGTGACACTCTTCAGACGTGCAATCACGTTCAGCACTTCTGACACTGATGAAAACGCTCCAGGCACGCAGCAGATATCAGAGACTGTCTTGACCGAAACATCAGTTCCTTGGCAGTGCAGCTTGAAGCGAAGGTCGTCGTATATGGTGATGTTGTGGGTTATAACGGGCATGCCAGCCGGTTCTCTAACTTCCTCTTTTCTTATGCTGATCACTGTCACGTCTTCACCGTTGACTTCGGCCACCCTGAAAAAGAAAATTCATTAGACGATATTCAAGCATCTATTTGCCGACACTGCAACCGCCCACCACAATATGTTGTATCTTTTGCGCACTTAGCAAATCACATTTCTTTTGTTTTACGTATTCGATTGTATTTCAACATATTTGTTTTTATATAATTAATTATTGTAGAATGGTAATTACTATTTGTGAATATTTCAGTAAGGTAGGTACCTTTGTTGTATGATCAGAAGACTTATTCCGCATATGTAGGTACTTATTTTTCAGTAGTATCATTTTTTCAAGACGTTGCAACGAAACAGTTACCTACATCAAATATGTAATTGGTGGGTTAAATCGTATTAATCTATCCGTCACTCCCGTTAAGTACCTATTCAACATAGTTGGGCATAACATCATTATCATTTATCATACCTAAAAAATTAAATACATATTACAAAACACTATAGGCGTAGGAACAGGGGGGGGGGGCAGGGGGCCATGCCCCCCACTTTGCGGCCAAGTTTTCATGCTGCATTATTTAATGTTGCTCAAAATACAAAAATATAGGCAGCAAACGATTCAGCAAGACGAGAGGAGTTCAAAACTGCCCTCAAATTTTTCTTAGGGGGGTTGGGGTTCCCACAAACTGAGATCGAAGTGTCCCTGACCGGGGTCTGCCCCCCCCCCCACTTTTCGTGACGTTCCTACGCCTATGCAAAACATCAATTCCATTGATAAACATACCTGAAGCCCACGGGCAGGTGCTCCTTTTTTAGTTTCTGACAGAGATCAGCAAGGTTCTGTATCTGGTCGTCAGCGAAGAATGCCTGTGTCCGGTTTTCGGCCTCTTGTTCCTGTCGGAGTCGTCGTGCCGATGGGTCTGCAAATTTCGTCAGACGAGGTGTTGAGCGGCCTGTTACGAGTTCCACAAACGGCACAGCATCTTTCTTCAGAAGTCGCCGTTTCCGATCCTTGCCGCGTCTGTTAGCACCCACACGAAAATCATGAGGACGGAAATGCTTTTCGCATATGCCACAGTTGACCCCGTTCAGGTTTTCCACGTTCCGTCCAATGGCTTCAGCCCATTTTCTCTTGCATTATTTCCGGGGAATCGAAAAACGCTAAATCGTGGGGTAAGCTTATTGTTTTCCCTGTCCCATATCGTCGGCTTGTGTCCTGAACGACAGTTAGCAACTGCACAATATCTTGGCATTGTTGAACAGCTTCCATACTGTATACAACCACAAGTTATGAATTCATTGTGTTGTGGAACGATTGTACAGAAAGGGGAAATCACAAAAAATAATATTACAAAGATCCACATTAAACCAACTTGGTATTAAGATGTATAAACTACAATTCCGACAAAGCTCAACGAAAACAATATGTTGAAATTTGGAATGTTTGAGATTCTATAAGTAAAATACTCATTAATACATACTTTACGGTGCGTTCACTGGAGATTACCCGTGCGTTAATTCGAAGGTAGCCGTGCACCAATTTAAATTGGTGCACGCGCGTGCAGTGATGACTTTCTCAACTGAAGTTTTTTGGAAAGGTCATTGACTTTATTCTAAGAATTCCCATAAAAGGCCCTTTTAGTGTCATGGACTAAGTTTAATTTTAATTCAAATTCGCACCGTTAAGCATGTATTAATTAGTTTAACACATGGTTTCCGTGCATAAATGGTGTTAACGCACTCGTGGATGGAATGGAGCACTTGTGCGTTAATGCACTCGTTTCACTCGTGCATTAACACACTCGTGCTCCAATCCATCCACGTCGTGCGTTAAAACCATTTACACACGGGAAACCATGTGTTAATATATATTATTGCAGCACGTGATAAATGCAATTAACATCCGTCATCCACCGCCTGCAGTACCCTTATGGTAGTCGGCCGAAATTCGTGTCCAGTCCAGATATGTAGTAGTCTATGCTTTGAATTATGCTAAAGCATTCACGAATGAAAGGTTCAGGGGCAAAAATTTATGCGTCTGCCGTGTACTGTTCCCATTTAACATTGAGCGCGTGGTAAACATTTTGTGAACCTCGAATTTTCAAATAAAAACATGATGAATCGGAAGTTGCTGAAGGGCAAAAGCCTTTCCAATACGCATTTGGCCTAATTTACAATTAAAATTTTAACACTTCTCTAATCTTATTAATAATTTATTTGTTCTTTTTCATAAAAAAATAACTTAAAGCGTTGAGAACCGAGGTAATTTCTATCTACCGTGCCTTAATTAACTTACCAGCAACATCAATCTATCTACGCCCTACGGTGGCAAGGGAGACTGAAAGAAGCGTAAGATGGATTCTAAACAATTCTTTTGTGATATACTGAAGGGCAAAGTGCAGAGAAACGCATACAAGTCCTGTTTTGTGCCAGACTGTTGCAGTAGCACTTATGAAACTCCGAAAACGATCTTCGTTCATGTCCCGAACAACATTACCCTGAGGAGATGATCGTCTGCAATAGTAAGAAGAGCTGATGCAAGTACTTTGAAATCCACTATCAAGTCGGTACTGATATTGTTTTAATGATCACTGTGAGGTGAGATATTTTGTGCAAGGGCTGAGTGTAATGCCCAGGAGATGACCTCCATTCGCCCCCTGACCGGTCAGGGCTATAAAATTTGAGTGGATGGCGGTCCGTTTGGGGTTCAGATGTCAATTGTATTTTGTTGCTGTCAAACAATACATGTTATGATGGCAGCGAATGTGTGTAACGTCGGTTTTCGAACAGAAGTTAGAACTGCAACGGCAGGGTGCTTGCTGGTCTCATCGTAAGTATTGTAACAGTATTGTAAGCATTGTCAATATTGTAAGTATTGCGAGCATTGATGTATGGAAGATATCACCTCACATGATCTCGCCCTCAGATAACCCTCTCCGGTGTCCCTGTCAGTAAATGACACCTGGATCATTACAGATAAGATAATTTGTCATAATTTATAAAGGATTGGGTGGTTTTGACTCGTTTACTCGAGGCAGGTCGCATTTCAATATTTTTTCCATACACTGTAAAAAATATTGACGAGCTATGTGTCAAAACAAGGGTCTCGAAACAGTCACCAGGTTGTCAATGCTTCCGGTACCTACCACTTGACTAGTTACCGCTTAGTTAGCTTACAGGCTGAGAACTATCCAGATCGTTATGATCCGGTATTGTAATGATACCCTAGGTGTACCTTTGTTTTGAAGTGCTGAATTAACTATCAAGGTTGTTTGACGTTTGTTTTCGCCTCAATCCGAAACGAGGAAGACCCTCATCAAATTATTAGGTGAAAGCCAGCCTCAGGATGATTAAAATACTAGGGGTAGTTTTGTCATAGTAATCTGTGAAGGGTGAGTAACAAGCCGTAGCAATGCACTCGTCACTAAACCAGCCTGAGATTATTCGCCAGGTAGCTGCTGCGTTTCCCTACTTGCTGAATCACGTTTGCAACTTTCCATTTCCAGACACTTTTTACGGCAAATAAATTGTTGGGTTATTTGGAAGGTGAATGACAATTTTATTTCTATAAGTCAATACATTTGTATTTCCGATTGCCCTAAAACTTTTTTTTTAATCGTTTGCGGTAGGTTTTTATTGTTCACAATAAAGTTGCGCACCTGTGAATCCTTCACTTAATGCGTTCCCGGCTTCCCGGCGCCAGTGGCGCTGTGCCGTGCCGCGTTCGGTCGGGGGTGCGCGCGTCTGTGAAGTGCGAGTGTTTATCACTGGGCAAACCTGTATCGTTTCCATTTGTGCAGTGTCTAGTTATGAAGAATTGCTTGCCGATATATGACCTGCAGTGATCGACGTTCTGATTCAATAACTTGCCATAAGCCATTATTCTCAACCAAATCGCGCGGAGACGTTTGCAAAGTTGTCGAGGGGGGGGGGGGGGAACAAGAGCGATTTTAAATGAATGCAGTGCAATAGGACTTAGGTTTAATTTTCCGAAAGTTGTGGAGCCGCCCCCAGTGTCCGGCCTGGCCAACTCTCTCAAGAACCGACAGCTAACGGAACACTGAAGTTTCACTACGACGATTTCCGCCAAAGTTATGAAGAAAAGGCAAGTGCAAGAAGTACAAAACTTCTCTTGGTAATCAAAACTTAGGTTTGGCAAATTCCAAACCCTAAGTCACTACAACTGTGGATATAAATAAGCTGGTTATTGACGGCCAAGCTCTGGCCAATCTGAGGTTCAGACCTATCATCAAGTTCATTTTGTCTTAGTACTTATTGGATCCAATTATTCCGTGACCTGACATGACCCAGTGATAGGTAGTGGTTGTTGTACGGGTAGTGGTAGTGGTAGTGGTAGAAGGTAGTGGTAGGGGTAGGTGTAGTGGTAGTGGTAGTGGTAGGGGTAGTGGTAGTGGTAGGGGTAGGGGTAGTGGTAGGGGTAGTGGTAGGGGTAGGGGTAGTAGTAGGGGTAGTAGTAGGGGTAGTAGTAGGGGTAGTAGTAGGGGTAGTAGTAGGGGTAGTAGTAGGGGTAGTGGTAGGGGTAGTGGTAGGGGTAGGAGTATGGGTAGTAGTAGTGGTAACTGGTAGGGGTAGGGGTAGTGGTAGTGGTAGTGGTAGGGGTAGGGGTAGTAGTAGGGGTAGTGGTAGGAGTAGTGGTAGGGGTAGTGGTAGAGGTAGGGGTAGTGGTAGGGGTAGTGGTAGTGGTAGGGGTAGGGGTAGTGGTGGAGGCAAAAGTAGAACAGTGGCCCGGGCTGATCCCATCGGACGAGAGGTGACCTATGTGACCTGGCCCGACCCAAAGTGACCGGGGCTGACCCCTTTGACCCGTCTTGACCCCGTATCAGCCAAATTTCATCCAACAAAGCCTTGAGAACAGTTCTTTTTTAAATTCTCTTCACATTGCCGTCCATATCTATGCTTCCAGACGACACATCGATTTGAATCGAACACCATTCGAGAGCAAATTGACTGGTGCCGGATTTTATGACCACGCAGCAAAGCAAGTGGCGCAGCCGCTTGTCATCAGTATCTTACTATTTGAACAGGATCCATCTGTCTGTTTGTTTGTCTGTCCGCCACGCCGTGTAGTGGGTTCAATTCCACTCGCCTACAGGGCAGACGGTATATCGTAGGGGGCTGAAATTTGCACACCTTCTAGGTGACAGAGCGGGTCAGCGCCTTTTCTAGGTTTCCACTCGCTGGGGTGCACGGTTCGCGCGTGGGGCGCGCTGGAAGAACGCCAATGAAATTTTGATCGGTTCGTAGATCTTCATTGAGAGCCGGGGTCGACAAACTTTGTGGACTAAATGCATGCCGATCGTTGGCGGGTGCCTCGCATTGGCGGATCGGCAAGTTATTAATTTGAATGAAAAGTGGCGAAAAAATGTGTTGATTTTCGTTCAATGGAAACAGTTGATGATACAAGTATAAAAATGCACCGCGTTTGCCGCAATGCGTCACATTGGTCACAGGGCGTCATTTTTGCCGCAAATCGCAGAGTTTTGTCAAATATGGTCCGATATGGGTGCAATTTGGTGCAAAGATGCATGCTCAATCACCGGGTGAAAATGCGCCGCGTTTGTCGCAATGCGCTACATATGCCACAAAGCGCCATTTTCGACAAATACGATCAAGCGTAATGGAATGGCACGAATAGGAGCAGGGCCGGGAACACAAGTCTGATATTTTAGTACTGATTGGATCCAATTATTCTGTGACCTGACATGACCCAGCGGTGTTGGTAGGGGTAGGGGTAGGGGTAGTGGTAGGGGTAGTGGTAGGGGTAGTGTAATGGTAGGGGTAGGGGTAGGGGTAGGGGTAGTGGTAAGAGTAGTAGGAGGGGTAGGGGTAGTGGTAGGGGTAGTAGTAGGGGTAGTGGTAGGGGTAGTGATAGGGGTAGTGGTAGGGGTAGGAGTATGGGTAGCAGTAGTGGTAGGGGTAGGGGTAGATGTAGTGGTAGGGGTAGGGGTAGGGGTAGGGGTAGTGGTAGTGGTAGTGGTAGTGGTAGGGGTGGTGGTAGGGGTAGGGGCAGGGGTAGGGGTAGTGGTAGTGGTAGTGGTAGGGGTAGTGGTGGAGGCAAAAGCAGAACCCGGGCTGATCCCATCGGACGAGAGGTGACCTTTTGTGACC